GGATGGGGGGTGGGGTGGGATGATGACATCCCCTGTCCCATGTCCCCTCTGCCCACAGGACGACAAGGAGTACGTGGGCTTCGCCACGCTGCCCAACCAGGTCCATCGGAAATCCGTGAAGAAGGGCTTCGACTTCACCCTCATGGTGGCAGGTACGGGGCGGGCCGAGCCTGGCGTGAGGACGCTGGTGCCTCTGTGGATCCCAAAGGCCATGGCGGGGGTGGGTACCGACTGCCCCCCCTCACTCCTGTGCCCCTGTCCCAGGGGAATCCGGGCTGGGCAAGTCCACCCTGGTCAACAGCCTCTTCCTGACAGACATGTACAGAGACCGCAAGCTGCTGAATGCCGAAGGTGAGGGGGGTCCATCCCAGCGATGGGCAGAGTCCCAGCAATGGGGTGTCCTGGGTGTCCTGGGGGGTGGCAGAGCCCAGTGCCACTCCCGGGAGAATGCAGCCGCTCTCCGTGCCCAGCCAGGCTCTTCTGGGTCTCCGTAGCCATATGTGGCACATTGCTGGCTGCCCACCGGCACCAGGGGCTGCTCCAAGGCAAAAGCCAAGACGCGTGTGGCCCCTGTGCACATGGTGCAAACAGGAGCGTCCTTGGGGATGCAGGGACACGCAGGGATCCTGGGGGTAAAGGGGCAGGCGTGGTCCCAGGGTTGTGGGGTCACACAGGGTGGTGCAGGGACCCACAAACACCCCCGCAGTGATGCCTGGCCCCAGCAGATCCCCGTGCTGCCAGAGCTGGGCTGTCACAGGGTGGCGGTGGCAGAGCCACCAAGGGAGGGGTGCACATCCATGTGGGGATGTGTGAGGCTGTGGCACAGAGCAACCCCTCTTGGTGCTGGACCCTGGCGCTTGTGGGGGCTGATCCTGCAAAGCAGCCCCAGCCTCCCCAGGATGGAGGGTGACCCCAGGGGCTGCAGCATCTCCCTGTGTCACCCTCATCGTCCCTTGCCTGGGGTATCCCCCGCTGCCTCCCTGTCTCCGGCCGCCGCAGAGCGCATCACGCAGACAGTGGAGATCACCAAGCACGTGGTGGACATCGAGGAGAAGGGTGTCAAGCTGCGCCTGACCATCGTGGACACGCCGGGCTTTGGTGATGCTGTCAACAACACTGAGTGGTGCGTCCCAGGGAGGGGTGGTAGCGGGGTCTCCCCAGGGCCCTGCAGTGCTGCCGTGGGTGCCAGTGGCTCCGAGTGTGGGATGCCCATGGTTCCTGGGGGTGGAATGCTGAGCTGTGGGAGGTGTTGAGCTGGGGGTCCAGGGGAAGCCCGGGGTTCCTGCAGAGAACTCTGATGGTCACCTCCTTGTCCCTGCAGCTGGAAGCCAGTGGCTGACTACATTGACCAGCAGTTCGAGCAGTATTTCCGTGATGAAAGTGGCCTCAACCGGAAAAACATTCAGGACAACCGCGTCCACTGCTGCATTTACTTCATCTCACCCTTTGGCCACGGGTACCGGCAGCCCCTGCCTGCGCCGCTGGGGGGGGGGGGTGCTGGGGAAGGGGCTTGGCAGGACGGTGCTCACCAGGCTCCCCCCGCAGGCTCCGGCCCCTGGACGTGGAGTTCATGAGAGCCTTGCACCAGCGGGTGAACATTGTGCCTGTGCTGGCCAAGGCTGACACCTTGACCCCCGCTGAGGTGGAGCGCATGAAGAACAAGGTAAGGGGCGGTTGGCCCAGCCTGGGGCCATCCCAGCAGGTCCCTGGGGATCGGGGTGCCTTGGGGTCTGGGGTCCCCACTTGGCTGGGGGCTCTCTCCATCCCCTGCCCAGACTTTGCCATGTAGCATCCTCCATGCTTGCCGCACTGCAGAGGACCGTTGCCCACAGGACACATCTCCCTGGTACTCAGCTGGAGGCTGGAAGGGTCTGGGGGGAGGTGTCTGGGGGGGACAGGCTTTTTTGTGGGTCCTTGGGGGACACCGGTGCTGTGTGGTGCTTCCCACTCCTTTTCCGAGGGCCAGAGCCCTGCCCTCAGCAGGGCTGTCTGCTTCCAGATCCGGGAGGAGATTGACCACTACGGCATTCGCATCTACCAGTTCCCCGAGTGCGACTCGGATGAGGATGAGGAGTTCAAGCTACAGGACCAGGCGCTGAAGGTGGGTCTGGCTCCTCCAGCTCCATCCTTGGAGGGGGGGGGCCCCGTGGCTGGGAGGACATGTCATCCTGGGGTACCCTTAGGACTCTTCGGGGCCCTGCAAGCTCTCCAGCAGCCCCAGTGTGGTGGGGTTGGTACATATTGCACTGCCCAAATGTCTCACCAAGACCCCACAGGTGCCACCTGCAGCTTGGTGGGATGGGGCTGGGGTGGAGAAGCCCATGCCATGACTGCTGCTGCCCCACCTGAGGGTGTCTGCAGCTGGGGCTCTGGGATGTCTTGGGAAATGGGTGCTGGATACGGCTGAGGAGATGCATGTGGAGGGACGTGGGCCACGGTGGACAGGGATGAGCCCTGCTAACCTCCGCCATCCTCTTGCAGGAGAGCATCCCCTTCGCCGTCATCGGCAGGCACCCGGCCGGGGGGGCCCAAA